GACTGGTTCAGGTACTACCTTCACACCGCCTCCACTTCATCTCTGCAAACGGCTTCTCCTCCAGCTCCTGGACCGTCTTGGGCGGTGCTCCTCAAGGCTCTGTCCTTGGTCCCCTCCTCTTCACCCTCTACATGCTCCTCCTTGGTGACATCATCTGCAGACTTGGGATAAATTTCCACATATATGCGGATGACACCCAACTCTATCTTTCTGCCTCCACCCTGAACTCCAGGACTACTGGCCTCCTGACCAACTGCCTGTCCAACATCAAGTCATGGACGAGGGACAACTTTCTCCAACTGAACATCAGCAAGAGCGAGGCCCTCCTGATTGGCTCGCGCCAGGGCTTCCGCACCTCGGGCGCTGGTAGCATCAGCCTCCATGCCACACACTCAACCTTACTAAGCCAGTCAGGAACCTGGGTATCTTGTTGAACCCTGAACTGTCTTTTCTCCCCCACATCTGCGCCATGACCGGCACTGCCTACCACCACCTTTGCAACATTGCCAGGCTCCACCACTGCCTCACCCCTCAGGCTGCCGAAACCCTCACCCATGCATTCATCACATCAAGGCTCGATTATGGAAACTTCCTCTTCATCGGCCTTCCCAACTCTTCCCTTCACAAGCTGCAGATCATCCAAATCTCTGCAAGTCATGTACTCTCGCGCACCAGGCTCTGTGACCCCATCACACCCACCCTTGCCCAATTCCACTGGCTCCCCATCCCTCAGAGGATCGAATTCAAGATCCTTGTCCTCACTTTCAAGGCCATCCATGGCCTTGCCCCTCCTACCTTTCTGACCTGCTGACTCCCTACCAACCTGCCCGCTCCCTCCGTTCAGTGGGCTCCGGCCTGCTCCATGTCTCCCACCCAACCATTGGTGGCTGGGTTTTCAGCCTCTCTGCCCCCACATTCTGGAACTCCATCCCACAGTCCTTTCGCCTCGCTTCCTCCCTTGCCTCCTTTAAGGCCGGTCTCAAGACCTTGCTCTTCGATCAACAATAACAATAACTTGGATTTATATAACGCCCTCCACGCTGGATGGCATCTCAGAGCGCTTCACATAACGGATCCCGGGGCCGAGCCAGGGGGAGGGGGAAGAAGGTGACCAAAGATGCGGTTGAAAGGAAAGGTCTTTAGCCGAGACCTGAAAATAGGAAGAGAGGGGGTGAGGCGAAGGGAGTGAGGAAGGGAGTTCCAGAGCCCTGGGGGATAGTGGCTGAAGGCACAGCCGCTGATGGTGGAGCTGAGGATTCGGGGAACAAGGAGAAGGCCAGACCCGGTGGAATGAAGGCAACGGTCACTGTTGTTAGGAGAGAGGAGGTCAGAGAGGTAGGGGGGTGCAGAGGAGTGGAGGGATTTGAAGACAAGAGTGAGGATCTTGAAATCGATCCTCTTTGGGACAGGCAGCCAGTGCAGTCTGGCAAGGACTGGGGTAATCGGGGAGCGGAGTTTGGTGCGGGTGAGAATGCAGCTGTCAGAGTTTTGAATGATCTGGATTTTACGAATGGTAGTGGAGGGGAGACAGCGAGGAGGACATTTGAATAGTCCAGCCAAGAGGTGACAAAGGCTTGGACCAGGGTTTCGGCGGCTTTTTGGGTGAGTTATTGGCAGAGACGGGCGATGCGTTGGAGGTGGAAGAAAGCGGTGCTGGTGAGGGACTGGATGTGGGGGAGGAAGGATAATTGGGGGTCGAACCTGATGCCGAGGTTGTGTACAGGTTCGGAGAGCTTTAGGGGGAGGTTGGGTAGGTGGAGGAGGTGAGGACCGTGTGATTTAAGACGTTGATGAGAGCCAAAGAGTATGGCTTCCGTCTTGTCAACATTTAGCAGAAGGAACTTCGCGCTCATCCAGCTCCTGATGTCTGACCGGCAGGCTGACTGGGGGACTCTGGGTCGCAAAGTGAGGTGGAAAAATAGAGTTGGGTGTCGTCCGCATACATGTGGAAGTGTACCCCATGTCTGCGGATGACAACCCCAAGAGGGAGCATATAGATTAGAAAGATGAGGGGCCCAGGGATGGATCCTTGGGGTACCCCGCAGGTAACCGGGTGAGAGCGGGAGGAAAAGCCATTTGTGGAGATGAACTGCTGGCGGTTTGTGAGGTAGGACTCGAACCAGGCGAGTGCGGTCCCATTGAGGTGGACGATGGAGGAAAAGTGATGGAGGAGGATGGTGAATCGACTGTGTCGAAAGCGGCAGAGAGGTCCAGGAGGATAAGGGGGCAGAGGGAGTAGAAGGCTGTTTTCGCATGTGTCAAGGAAAGGCGGTAGCCGTGGAGATGCTCGAGCCACAGTTGGTGGTGAATTGTCAGGCCAGTTTTCTGCCATCTGCGCTCGAGCAGCCGGGTTTGGGTTTTTAGGGAGCGGAGATGACTATTATACCAGGGGAATCGGGTGGGTTTGGAGATGGTCCTGGATTTCAGGGGGACGAGAGAGTTGAAGGTGGAGGAGAGGCGATCATGGAGCAGCTGGACGGCTGCTTCAGGATCTCTGCAGGTGGAAGGCCAGAGGGATAGGATATTGGAGAATGTGAGGACCTTTGTGAGGGTCTCACGGGGTAGCCTTTTCCACGGGCGGTAGAGTATGATCGTGTCTTCAGTCGCCCTCCCACCTCTCTGCCTTCTCTCACCCCTACTCCACCCCTACCTCATGCTCGGGTCCTGACCCCTGACTGTCCAGCGCCTTGGGACGTCCTCCCGACGTAAAAAGCGCTCTATAAATGTAATTTTGTTGCTGTTGTAAAATTGGGACTACGTACTAAGGTTGAGGTCTTGGGTATAGCAGATAAGCAGATTATTTTTTTGGATTTTAATATGCTTCACAGCAATCTGAACCAGGTGGCGATAAAAGTTAGATGATAGCATGACTGGCTTCATTGATGGGCTGCAGATTTAGATGTGGATATTGACTACATGAATAGCTAAGATGGCTTTTTTTACATTTCTAAGAATGTCAGACATCAATACCTTATAGTCTGCCATAAGGGACACTCCAGGAGTGTTTTCAAATATGTAATATTGGATCAGTCTTTGGCTCAGTGAGTCAGAAAACAATTTTAATTCTACAAACAACATAGCTGCTTGGTGTCGTTTTTTTTACTATGTTAGTCACCTCCATGGTGAGAAATAACTGCTGACAGCTTTTAATTGCATTTTTCACTGATGAAAATTGCGTTTATAATCCTTATAAAAATACATTAAGTGTATTGGCTGTTGGGTCAATTGTATTTGAGCAAATTGTGAGCACTGGGGATGTAACGTTTAAACTATTCTACTGTGCAGAGTAATGGCATTGAGTTTTCATTCTTAGTTCACTGGTAGAATCCACTTACTGGTGTGTTAAGCCTGTATTGGAATGTGCATAGTGATGTTAAACCCAGTATAAGTTTCTTTAACGCCTTGACTCTAATATTCTGCAATAATTGGTTGACAAGATTAAACTCAAGCACTCATCTTGGGATGAACACCTATCAACAACAACAATGGCAACTTACATTTACATAGCATCCTTCACACGGGGTAGTGTCCCGGAGCACTCATTATTACTTTCCTTTACCTTTAAACACAGGAGTTTTGTGTTGCATTTCCTGGAATGTATTTCTGTTTGAATTTGTGGCAATAAAATTCTTCATATAATGAAATCTTTTTCTCCTTGCTTTCCTCCCCTAGCTTTCATGCCACTTTGCCAGACATCAAAAATTATAGTAGTGAAAGGATATCATGGAATGTGACCCCCAATACACCGGTTACTATTCAATAATTGTAAAACGAATAACTGCAGTCTTTTAACAAAAAATTTCAATGGAACTATTAATTCTTTGATAGCCAAAAGATCTAGGGAAAGATAATATTATCTTTTAACTTTTAATTTTTTGCCCAATTATTTTTCTTCATGCATCAGTATATGTCCATCTGGTCCTGGTCACCATTTATTGAATTTATATTTTAAGCATTAATTTTAGTTCATCCTGATGCTGGGTTTAGCTCCTGCTGGGATGCAGGTCCATGGTTACCCTCTGCTATCAAACCTCAGTTACCATTGTTCATGCGTGAACCTTGGCAATGATTGTCGGCATGGCATACAATTCTTAAGGTGTGACATCCAAGATTGACCTCTCTTGACACAAGTTAGGTGACATTGGTATATACATTTGCTAGGGTTAGACTTGCCTGTCATATTACAACTATAGGAATTTGGCTGTATGGGCTCATATTTCATATGGAGTAGAGTTTGGTTTGCGATGGTAATATGGACCAACAGATGGTTGGAACGTTTACAGCATGCAATGTATTCAAGCGTTCTGTAGGATATTCTAAAGGATAAAAGGGTATTTTGAATAATTCATAAATGTCTTTCAAGACTGCATTTTATATAATAAATGCACTTTTTATACAAAATGTGAAATTCTAATTTGGTCGAGATTTACTCTATTTTTATTACTTTATTTTCTTAGCATTTCAAAATGTACAGAATTTGGCAAATTATTAAACAGTCTTAATTTACAAGCAGATTTTCTGTAGTTCTTAAAAGATGTGGTAAAAACTGGCCTCAAAATTACATTAAGACTGTGATTAAGAATTTACCAAATTTTGGCTGCTCTGAAATGCTAAGAAAATAAAGTATATCTAGACCCAGATGGAATTTTGCCCATCCTGTTTGGCACTTACTGCCATTAGCTACCATTTTAGCAGTGTAACACTTTTTGACACGAAGGGGCAGGAATTATAACATTAGGATTGCAGACCAGGATTGTAACAGTATAACAGTATCAGCAGATAGAGTACTTTACTGGGAAAGTATTAACTGTCATGCTGAAAGAATAATTGAGCTTCATAGCTAGTGAGGTAACACAATTGATAGATTCAAGTATGATAAACTAAGACAAATGTTTGTGCTGTTTTCAAGATCACGTGAGCCTAGAGTATTTTGTACATTAGTCAAATATGAATTAAGCCAGCTATGTTTTAACAGTACATACTTTCTGTTACCACTTTTCCATAGTCAAAGTAGTTGTGAACTTTATTTTTCTTTCACAGGGGAGCACTATGACATAGCTACCATCAGTAGGATAACATTGATTCAGGGGGAAAAAAATATCCTTTACAATGGGTAACAAGGACAGTCACTGAGGAATACTGTTTATTGTGTGTAACCTGTCAGATACAGGATGAAATCTGACACATTATAGCCTCCTATTTTAATACTTTGCCATATGCCAAGACTTTCTGATATTACATTCATTGCTTAGGTTTACTTCTGTAACACAGAAACGATATAACATACCCTTTGTAACACACTGCTGCTATAACACACCTTATGGAGTACGTTTAGTAAACTTATTACTGTTGGGCTATTTTGCAGGTGGAGGTGAAACATAAGAAGTCAAGAAGATAAATTAGAAACAAAGGGATGAAATATGTGGTTTGTGATGTGATAATCATCATATACCACATTTCCATCCTTTTTTTCAAAGTTCCAAATTCACTGATATATTTTACTAGAACAACTGGTTGCATGTAAGCATTTTAGGTGTTTAATTCCACCCACATTTACAAACAAATCCTTGCTATCTAATCTGTTCTGAGCCTGTGCAATTCTGGTTTATTACATAGAAAAGCAATTTTATTTAACCTTCATGCCTCCATTCATAATTCAGGTAATTACAAATGCATACACTTAAAGATGTGTACTATAGTTCTTCAATTCACAGCTCAGCTCATATGAAAGTTGAATACAGAAATGCAAAGCAATGACAAGAGAGTGTTTGGGACACATGGAAAACTAAACACTTGTTCATTTATGTCTCAGAAGAGACTGGAGAGAAAAAAATCCTGACAGAATCTCAATGCAGGAAATCCCTTTCAATTTTTGGGTGATGCCACCATTTTACAGTAAGATGAAAAGCTCTGAATATATTTACAATACATACATTGTACATAAATACAAGAACAACACTTACATAAATGTTAGTAAACGTGTCATGAATTATTGCCTGAACTAAATAGTGTACAAAGAACAGGAAAGAAAATCTTCAGAAGAATGAAACGTTCTGATTTATTTGTAAAGAAAGAAAGACTGGAATTAAAAGCTATTGCAAGTTTAACACAAGCACTTTCTTAAATCAGCCAATTATGTTTTTTTTATCCCAATATTCACTTGGTGCACTTTTGAACAAAAATGAGAAGTTTTCCAATTTAGTTTCTCCCTCACTATTTACAGCCTATTGTAAAACTATGACTCTCAAAATACTTTTAAACTCTCATGTATAATACATTTTATTTAAAATAGTTGTCACTAGTACAGTAAAATATCAGAATGGTTTTTGAGAGTTTGGATGTTAATCCCTGTATAAATCTCTTTTTAACTGAGACTATTTCAAAGTGCAAGACATTCATGTCTTTTGGCTCCAAAGGAGATGACAATTTTTAAAGGGACAGTATTCATTTCCAAGAAATCATATGTTCATCCTTTGACCCACCTCAACTTATTCTCTTAAGGTGCAATTCTAACCCTTTGCCTTCACAGCATTTTCTTTTTTTGTTTTACAAAATGATGGGTTGTATAAGTTTTTTTTAAAATTAAGTTCAGGCAAAAGGTTAATGCATATTTTCTGAAAGATTTTCAGTTTGAGAAACAAACACAGAAAATAAACTAAGTATTTTATTCTTAATAGGTGGAATAAACATTTTCATAGTTTCACAGAAGAGGATGTGTTGAAGAAAACTGGGGTTTGGGAAGAAAAAAACTGAGATATGCTAAAGACGATGGTTCATCTTTTACTGTGGGCACTTTAGCAAACTCTATCTTGGAGGCCAACAGTTTGGATATTGAAGAATACTGCCCTGTGGGAGGAAGGGGCTTTAACACTTTCAACATCATCGAGAGTTTGTGCAACACAAGAATCATCTCTGCACTATTAGTATTCCAATTTCACATTTGTACAAAGATAGTATTGTCTCCTTGAAAAGACAATTAAAAATCAATATATCAGAGGATAGCCACCTCAAACTCGTCCTTTATTTCTTCATATGATATAAATGTCACATTAATCAGGTTAGAAGTTGCTACTGGCAGGCCTTGAAAATCAACATCAGCAACTCTCTGCTGTGCTGATCAGTCTTTTTGTCTGTTTTTTCCGTTTCTCTTTCTCTAGAAATATTGCTGTCTTAAAGCAGATGAGTGGAATGAATATGTCATCTACTGTACATACAATTAAAAAGTCGATTACAAACCAGTCAACAAAATATGGATAAACACTCATATAAAAACTGGGCTTTTCCTCAACAGTGAGGTGAAAAAGAGTTTACCTGTGATTGCATGGTTAAGACAGTGATCACTTAGAAAAGATTTACTATACACAAGGTTCACGATCATTAGGTGCTGTAACAGAAATCCAATAAAGTGGACCTTTACATTTGCGTAAAGAACCAATTATGGTTGTTTATATCCCTGTTAAGAAAAAGGAATCTAATACATCCATGCACTTCTACTTTGTACAGTAGCGCACTGCAATATATAGTTCTGAGTAATATCTGATGCGATGAAGGGCTGCAGCAATTTCTTCACTGGTTGTCTTTGCCAATGACTACGAACATATTAATTTTCTCCCCATCTTCTGCCTTTCATCTGCAGGAGCTTAGACCATTTTTCACCTTGCATGTCTTTTATTATTACACACTGCATAATATAATGGGCATGCCAGCGAGCGACCAACGATTGTGGAGTGGGGGAGTTCAGAACTGCATTTGATTCAAATGGTATTGATCTGAAAGATGATGTGGCTGCAGGTTAAACCTGATGTGCCTCTGCCACGTTCTCAATGTAGCATTAATGAAATCCCACCAAAAATAACAGGCATTACTGGACAATACAGCATTGGAGGATTTCATTATGTGTTATCTCTACCATTACTGTATTTTGTGGAGGTAAATGTAGCACTGTATTTAATGGTAAATTTACTTTTGAATAATATCAAGTCGATATAGACTCTCCATTTTTATACCATCCTTCTACCAAGTGATAATTTCTAATGAAATATGATTTAAAAATAAGGCATTAGGTAATTATAGACAGCCCAACAAATGTAATTAAAACTATTGCAATGAAAGCACCTAATCTAAAAATCTAAAAATGTTGCTGAAGAAGGAATTCTTATCTAATTGAAAGATAAAATAACTTTTGCCCGAAAAAATATATGTTGCCAATTTGTGCATTAAATAGGTAGTGCATGTCTTTAACACTGTGTGATACCACACACTATTAAAAAGTACAGACAGATAGGAACAACGCAGTTTTAATGAGAAATGCACTTTCCTGGTGGGTACTGTTAGGCAGGTGGCATAACACTGCAGCTTCTAGTACTTTCAAGGTGTAGTTATAATACAATATATTACTGCAGTTGGTAAGTCCCATGGCTTATGTAACCTAACAGAGATCTCTGTGTGTGATCACAGTGCCTGGGTAATTCTTCAACTACAGAAGGTTTAGATCTGATCTATTATTGCAGAATAATGATCATTTCATCATGATCAACAGTCCTGCTATTGACACATAGCTGACTTTACGAGAACAATAGTCTTTTTTCTCTTTTTTTCCCATTTCTCAAATGAGGTTAGTACAAGGCAGGTTTCTGAATGTACAAAATCAGGTGCACTAACAGATGACATGAAAATGGAATACAAGATATACGTTCAGATAATGTTTAAAACTTGACATTTAGAGCTAACTACTGCCATTTGTTAGGTATCTAATTGAGATAGTAGTTGAAGAATTGTGGAAGTAATGAAAAGGTTGAAATCTGAGAACTATTTTGTTTTTAAAAAAGATGCACCAACTTATTATGAAACGCCTTTGACAACAACAAAAAACAAAATGAAATAATCTAAAATGCCAACTCAATGACAGTCGGATCTGACTGTCAGCGGTAAGAAAGATGCCAAGAGTGCTTTCTCTTTCTCTATATCATTTTTTCTTCTGGACGTATGGAGGTATCCTCGATCAACACTCATGAGAATTCAGCCCAGCTGAATTCTGGTGAGTAAAAGAGACCCTGTTCTGATGCCACACTGTTCTCACAGCACCATTAAACCAGCATGTGTCTTCGGCGATGTAATGCCAGGTGATCTGAGCGGGAGAAACTGCGGTCACAGTCTGCACATTTGAAGGGTTTTACCCCTGTGTGTTTGCGGTAGTGCCTTGTCAGCTCATCTGAACGAGCGAATTTCCACGTACACCCTTCCCACGTGCACTTGTAAGGTTTCTCACCTAATAAATAAATATAAAAGAAATGCAAATAAAAATTAAAATATAAACACTTCAAAAGTGATATTCATGACTTTTATTATTACACACTGCATGATATAATGGGCATGCCAGAGATCGTAGCATTGTGAAAGACTAAGTCAATACAACAACAACAAAATTACACATGTATATTGTCTTTCATGTCGGGAGGACTTCCCAAGGTGCTGGACAGTCAGTATTTTGGACCTGAGCTGGGGATTGGGATTGGGGAGGGTGGAGGGCAGGGCGGGAAGGAGGGTGACTGAAGGCAACGTCAAAAAGAAGGGTCTTGAGATGGGTCTTGAAAGAGGCAAGGGAGGGGGCAAAATGGAGGGACTGCGGGATGGAGTTCCAGAGGATGGGGGCAGAGTAGCTCAAGATCCGCCCGCCAATGGTGTGGCGGGAGATGTGAAACAGGCTGGAGCCCACTCTGCTGAGGGAGTGGGCAGGATGGTAGGAGGTTGTAGAGGTAGCGGGGAGCAAGGCCATGGAGGGCTTTGAAAGTGAGGACCAGTATCTTGAACTCTTTATAATAATAATAAAGCCAGAGTAGTTAGGCAAGGATGGGGATGATAGGGTCGCAGTGTTTGGTGCAGGAGAGGACACGGGCTGCAGAGTTCTGGATGATCTGCAGCCTATCAATATAAAATAGTCACAAATAGATCAAATAGGGAGGTTGGAAGAAATTTCTTCATGCAGAGAGTAGTGGGAATGCGGAACATGCTACCACAAGGAGTTGTTGAGGCAAATAGCATAGATGTATTTAAGGGACAGCTACATAGGTACATAAGCGAGAAGGGAATAGAAGGTTATGCTTGAAGGCTTAGTTGAGGAAGGGCAGGAGTAGGCTCACGTGGAGCATAAACACCGACATAGACCAGTTGGGCTGAATGGCCTGTTTCTGTACTGTATATTCTAATGTATTCTAATGTATTCTATGGAGGGAGGAATTGGGGAGGCGGAGAAGCCGGGAGTTTGCGTAATCGAGCCTGGATGTTACGAATGTGTGTATGAGGGTTTTGGCGTTTTGCGGTATGAGACAGCGGTGGAGCTGGATGATGTTGCGGAGTTGGGGGAAGGCAGAGCAGGTCATGGCATGGATGTGGGGTAGAAGGATAATTGAGGGTCAAACAAAACACCAAGGTTCTGGATTGGCTTGGTGAGGTGGAGTATGCATCCTTGGATGGTGATCTTGTCAGTGCCTGAGATGCGGAGGCGCTGATGGGAAGCAACCAGGAGGGCCTCGGTCTAGTTGACGTTCAACTGTAGAAAGTTAGCTCTCATCATTCTGTCAGGACAGCAGTGGTCTCGGAGCCGATGGTGGAAGCAGAGATAGAGTTGGGTGTCATCCGTATACATGTGGAAGTTGACCCCATGTCTGTAGATGATGTCACCAAATTACAAGGAACAAGTTCAGGAGAGGACACAGGACTCATTTAATGGCACTACTTAGATATGGCACAACATTCTTCACCTGTAATGTGAAAATTGTGTGGCACTTTAGAAATTGTTTCCAACCTTTAAAAATTATAGGGATTTTACAGCAGCTTAGGAAAGTCCTGAAATTCAAAGGCCTGGACTTATTTAAGAACCATTTTAGCTGTCTAAGTCTCCCAGTCACCAGTCCCAGTAATAATACCTCTAATATTGCAACAGCCCTTTTCTGATCAGTTCCAATCCTTTGATTCAAGTCAGTTTGAACGATACGTTTTTATTCATTATTTCTTTACTGATCCCCTTAGAGTAAAATTTTAATGTTATCACTTGCACATGAATTTAGGTTTGAAAGAGCTGGACAATGTTCACAGTTCACACTGAACACTGTTTTACAGTTTCACAGTTGATTTCAATGAGGCACTGCTTAGCATTTCTGTATTTGTGAAGAAGCAACTGCGCCTTCTGCTGGTCAGCTGGTATATTACGACTACCAGAAGCGAGAGAGCTCTACCAAATCAGGACGGCACCTGGTAAACTGAGTTAACATCGAAAGAGTCAATTGATACCTGCATGTTCATCCTAAATCTTGCCGTTGTTTAGTAGAATTTTCCAATTATCTACCTACCTGTGTGTGTCCTCCTGTGGGCTTTCAGATGAGAGCTTTTCGTGTACACTTTATTGCAGCCCTCAAAATCACACCGGTGTATGCGCCGCTTCTTTGAATCAGGGGACTCGGATCGTCGCTGACGTCTTGTACCCTCAATACTGAACAATGAATCAGAACTGAAAAAGAGAATTTCACAGATAGGATCGTTAACCGATGATTACACCGGATCATAACGGTGTCTAATCTGTAATAGATTTATTGCTCTGATTCTGGTTCAGGACACAAGAGGAAACTATGCAGCCGATTGGGTTTGTTCTGCTAGTTTATTAGAACATGGAAGATATTTTAATCCCATTTCCACACTTTTTCCACAAAAAGAATAATTCTAATAATCCTTGCATTTGGTATAGCGCCTTTCACATCAGGAGTGCTTCACAGAACATACAGTAAAACTCACATAAGTCATATCAGTCGGGACCGTAACATTTAATATAGTTTAGGCAAAGTCCGAGTTTCAGGCAAACTATATAAATTCTATTTAATCAATAATCTACCTGCGCATGCCATAGTTTGTGACTGCAGTTGGTAAGTGTGCATGCGGTGACGACTACAGTTCCTGTGATTCAATACGTCTTGACCCGTCGCCCCATGCACACTTACCAGTAATAATTCCTGTACATTATGAGTTTGTTCAATTTCTCTTGCTCTCGTTTTCTTATTTCCCAAAATGTATCAGTTGCTTCTGCATTAATTTGACACCCTAGTGAATAATGTTCATTGATGTTGCGCATGCCATTGATGTGAGGGCTGTAAAGTGCCTGTTTTTAATCTTTTGAGGTAGCAGCACACCCAGTGACAGCAGAGTCCAATTTGTAAGGATTCACAAAAGGATCAGCCATATGTAAATCCTGCCATTAACCTGGATACATCAGAGCCTGATAGCTGGAACTCCGATAAATGCCTATCTCCTGATGGTCACCAGGACTCTGCTTTGCCCACAATTCAATTTGATGGAAGCCTAAGATTGACTTCCAAGTAGTTTCAGCTGGATGGCCCTGACACATCTAAATACCTGAAGAATTCACATATTACAGATCCTTTTGACAAGATGCTCAATTTAGACCCCATTAAGAAATCCCATGTAGGTTTAATTTCCCTTAATGCAGAACTCCTGACAAGTGGATGTACAGCACACATCTCATGCCAATCCACAGGAACTCTGCTCCAAAAGTAGAATATGTTGTCGTTTGTCTGGCTCAGATGGTAGCACTCTGGTATCTGAGTCAGAAATAGGCTCATGTCAGGACTTTGAACTCACAGTCCAGGCTGACAATCAAATACGGCACTGAGAAAGTGCTCCACTTTTGGAGGTGCCATCCTTTGGACGAGACGTTAAAGATCCCATGTCACTACTTGAAAAGAGAAGTGAATTTGCCCAACAATCCCTGAGGTAACGTTAGTCATTCACTTAATAGCTGTTTGTGAGGCATTGCTGTGTGCAAATTGTGTACTGCATTTGCCTATGAGTACATGGTCATTACACTTCACAGTAAAATCCTATGAAATACTTTGCCTGACATGAAAAGCTCTATATCAAATGTAAAAAATATTATTTAGTTGTGTGACACTCTTATATTTTTGTATTAGAAAATCCCATTGGAAATCACGCATAATACCAGTGGGAGAAGCCACTGCTTTTCTGGTGAGGGCAGCACTATGTTTCTTATACTAGGTACTGTAGGTAAGGACCAGCTGCAACGCCTGGGGATGATAGAACACTAACCCCAATATTTGAACAGAAGTTACAAGTTTGTGCGTGTGAGATTTTTGTTCCGGTGTTGGAATCTGTTTATATTGCAGGAGGATCCTTTTGCGTTAAGAGTCTCTGGCTAGATTACAAAATTGCTGCTTCAATGAAGCCTATAATGTAAACACAGTTTAGGATTTATGGCACATTTAGCTTGTGCTTGCAAAAAGAAGAAACATTGAAAACACAGAGGTTTTGACATTTGGGCACTGCTCTAATGAGAAATTCCATTACAAAAGTATAGCAAAAAGAGCACAATGTTTTAGTTATCAATATAAATTAGCTGTTTACCCCTTCTATCTCTTTGAACAAAAACAATTAAAAGTTTGTTAACTTTTTGAAAAAGTTAATAGAATGTCTGTTGTGTGTTACTCTACCAGCAATGAATTGGACTTCTTTCCAGGCGCTTTGAGATGTCCTTCTGACACTATCCCAAACACCAAAAATAAAACACTAGATTTAAAAACAATTATTGTAAAGTGCTTTGAGAGTTTTCAATATAAAGCACTATGAAAAGTTATTTCTATCTCAAATCTACTTCCTAACATTTCTGCCGATCTGAAATGGTTGTGTGAAATTACCTCATTTCTACTAGGAAAATCCGAACCAATTCTGTTCATTGAGTCAGTCAGCAGTTGACCAAAGGACAATTCTTTAATTGTCCATACTGCCCTTGTATTGTCCATGTGTTGGCCGAATTTCTACAGTATGGTAGGAAACTAAACACTTTGAGACACTACCCGCGTGAAGAGTGCTATGTAAGTGCAAGTTGTTGTTGATACAGAGCCCACTGTCTAGACCTGAGTGGCATAGTCGGCATAGCCACTCACCTTTATATTATCTCTCCATCAGCCTTGCTCGATTTCAGTTTAACAATCAATAGACTGGATAAAAAATGTAATTACTGACACAGATTTTCTTGTTAGTACATGCTTATGCAATCTTAGAAAACTGTGGTGTTGAATCATATTCCCCTATAGTGCCTTCGACATCTGCTCAGTTATATCTAATGGTGGTATATATTGTTTCATTCACGCACTTTGAAAAATAACAAAAACACAGAATAAACATTTTGCCAACAACTGATTGCAAACACACATGGACAGAAAATAACAAACTTGATTAACTGCCCTTATGCAATGAGCACAGCACAGGACCTGTTTTACACAAAACTGAAAACTAACCTAATAACACTGGACGCCTTTATGTTATTAGGTGAGTAATTACATACTTATTGGCTGCAAAATGTCGCCTGAATGTTTTGGGCATATTCAACATAACATTAAATTATGTACCTAGCTAATTTGATGCATTTGAACAGTCAATAAATGATGTCACTGTTCTACCAAAATATTCCACTATAACAGCCTGAGATTAAAATCATACATTCTCATAATATTGGTACATTTCATCTGAGGTGCGGAACATGGTGAGGAAAAGAACCAGCTTAATGGGACAAGCTTTATCCCCAACCTTCCCTTTTATTTCCGCCTCACCAACGAGATATAAGACGTGACATAGTTGGGGAATATTCAGTACTTTATATAATCCCATGAATTTTTTCACTTGTATTCTATCCCATTATCAGAAGAATCCCTATCTTCATTGGGATCTCTCTCTGGGCTTGAGTTGGCCCCATGTTAATATACCTGGTGAAGGAAGAGCAGAGCTGTGTCAAAACTCTGTGCTGGATGCAGCGGTCCATTACTTGAGCCAGGCAGGGCTGCAGCAATCCAAGGAATTGTTGAAGGACTAGTCTGCCTGGTGAGTGGATATGTCGCTGGGGGAAAGGGATACTTCTCACTTCAACACTATCTGTACAATTTTGAGAACCCTAAAGTCTTAGCTGCTGCGGTCTCCAGGGCAGAGTTTGAGCTTCTAGAACTGCAAACAGAAACCACGTTTGTGAATTAACAGCACTTGCAACTGGAGACTTTAACACTATGTATTTGTCTCCAGATACAAGCCTGCCTAAGACAGTAACTCCTATTGTAAAATGGTCTGTTTTCCTGGTTTTGATAGACAGCCCTGATTTGGAGTGAGATGAGCAGTTTATGATGGAATGAGTCATAAGTGTCCTGAAAGCACATTTTTGGAGGGCAATCGGTTTACTGACAGAAGTCAGATAAATATTCAATCACAATCCTTCTTAAAGTTCATGACCAAAACAAAGTTGATCAGGATTGTATTAATGCCGCTTGTCTTTTTTAAAATAATGATCATTATCTCTTGTCTATTAATAACTTACTACGCTCGAGGCAGTGATTCATTTCAATTCAAATTCCTACAGTAACACAAATGACCATGTTGGCCTTGTGAAAACTTCTCTGATATGAGAGTGATGGAGACGTGAAACACAGCATTGCTTCTTCTTTCGTGACACATTTCCAGACCTGGATCAACATTATAAAAATGGTACTGTATAAGGATGACACCGAACTCTACCACTCTGCCTCCACCCTCGAGTCCAAGACCACTGCTGTTCTCACAGACTGCTGTCGGACATCAAATGCTGGATGAGAGCAAACTTCCTTCAGTTAAATATCAACAAGGCCAAGACTCTCCTGCTTGTCTCCTGTAAGTGCCTCCATACTTTGGGTGCTGACAGCATCACCCTTCACGGATGCACTCTATACTTCATGGAGCCAATATGGAATCTCAGCATCCTGTTCAACCCTCAACTGTCCTTCATACCCCACATCCATGCCATGACCCGCTCCACCTTTGCCCACCTCTGCAACATTGCCCAGCTCCCCCACTGTCTCTCACCTCGGGTCGCCAAGACCTTCATTCACACATTCATCACATCAAGCCTTGACTACAAAAACTCCCTGCTTATCGGCTTCCCCCAACTCCTCTCTTCACAGGCTGCAGATCATCCAGAACTCTGCAGCCAGTGTCCTCTTCCACACCAAGCTCCGTGACCCTATTGAGTCTTGAGATTAATAGTCTAGACTGACAGTCCAGTGAAATGTCTAGTGAGTGCTGAATTATCAGAGGTGCATCCATCGACTTTTGGGATAGAGAAAAGATCTCTGTTTTTGTGCCTATTTTAGAATTCCTTAGAATATTTGTGGAGTCCTGTAGCTCAGTGGTTAGAGCACTCGCCTCTCAAATGAGAGACCTGGGTTTGATTCCAGGCAGGACGAAACCTTGGACAAATTTCCTTACTCCACACGCCTAATAATAATCCCTCAAGAAAAAAAAATAATAAATTGGTCACTTCAATCCACGACTGTTTGTGGGACACTGCTGTGTGCAATTGGCTGCCGCGTTTCGCCACAAATATTTCATTTCACTTTATGGTATATTCTGTGAAGCCTTTGAGACGTCTAGAAGACGTGAAAAGCGCTATATCAAATTCAAGGA